ACACACCTGTAATCTCAGCACTTTGGGAGGCAGAGGTGAGAGGATTGCCTGAGCTCAGGGGTTTGAGACCAGCCTGGGCAACTTGGCAAGACCTCATTTCTACAATAAATAAAAAAATTAGGCCAGGCTTAGTGGCTCAACCTGTAATCCCAGCACTTTGGGAGGCTGAGGCGAGTGGATTGCCTGCACTCAAAGTTTTGAGAACAGCCCGGGCAACTTGGGAGACTTCTTTTCTACAATAAATTAAAAGTTAGCCAGGCGTGGTAGGTGTGCCTACAGTTCAGCTGCTTGGAAGACTGAGGCAGAAGGATCGCTGGAGCCTAATGGGTTGATGCTGGAGTGGCCGTGAGAGTGCCACTGCACTCAGGCCTGGGCAACAGAGTGAGACTCCAACTCAAAAAAATAAATAAGTAAGTAAATAAATCAGCTGGATATGGTGGCACATGCCTGTGGTTCCAGCTACTTGGAAGGCTGAGGCAGAAGGATCGCTTAAGTCCAACACATCAAGCCTGCAGTGGCAGCGAGCATGCCACTTCACTCGAGCCTGGACGACAGAGTGAGACTCTGACTCAAAAAAAAAGAGAAAGCCCTGAGACTTGTGGGTCACCAGACGCCCACACTACAGCTTCACTGAAAATGATAGTGGGTGGTTTCACATCTGTTGTGGGCTCCACACTTTCCAGTAAATGCCATGTGGGGCCAGTGGGCCCAGGACTTCAGGAGAATGCTGCTCGGTCTCCCTCCTGGCCCTTGTCTACACAGTGGTTTCTGAATTGTAATGTGAGGTGGAAGCACCTGGTCCTATCCTGTGAAAGTCACTACCTGTGTGGTGACCAAGCGGCCCTCCAAGCAGGTTCAGGAGAAGCTCCCTCGAGCGCTGACCTCACTGCGACAGGGTGTGGGAGGGAGCATCGCGCCTGGCTCGTGGTCTTCTGCACTGAGGACAGAGTCCACCTTCACGGGAAAGTGTTCAAGGGATGCTGCCTCTGCGCCGATCCTCTCGTGCACCACAGAGTTACTGCTTCCGCCCCCGGATGTCCAGGCCTGGAGTTGCTGACTGAGGCCCCTTGTGAACTGGGCCAGCTCCAGACAGGCCCTTTGTGTGGAGACGCAGCTGTGCATTCCCAGCCCTGGCTGTGTGTGAGGCAAGCTTTGTTGCCTCCTCGGGAAGAGGGTTCTGTTCATTGAGGTGCTAGGCTGGGACAGAGGCTGTGCCAGTCGTGGGAAACCACAAGAGGAGAAAGCCCAGCATGACGTCAGGAGCCAGCCAGGGTGTCGGCCCCATGTTAGGAGTCAATGTGGGCGTGGGCTCTGGCTTGTGGGTGCCCTTGAGTGTCCTGATGGTTGGCGAGCTTTGCCTAGACACAGCCATCCCCGCCACGGGAGCCTCATGCGCAGCCAGATGTGGGTGTTGCTACCAGGAACATGTTATGCGAATTTATGAAAAACAAAATACTGAGCTGCCTGCGCTGGCCATGTATCATGTATACTGCCGGCTCTCAGTTCCAGGCTCCCCATGGAAGTGTTGAGCAAGGCCCTGGCCTATGTGACTCAGGTGGCACTGAGTATGTTGAACACAGCTGTGCCTATAAGCCGGGGAGCCTTCTGGGTGGGTAGTGGGATGCTGACAGGAGGAGGAAACTGAGGCACGGCAGGGCCTGCTCTCTGTCTCATGCCTGCAGATGAGGCAGGAGGTGTCCCCTGAGACCCCTCCTTGCACCCCTGAGGATTACCAGCACTGTGCTCAGGTTAGGCCTCAGCCAGCGCCCCCATGACCCCAGGGTGTCCATACTCAAGTACACCGGCCCATGCCAGTGGTCCTTAGCATGATCCCCAGCCCACAGTGCCAGTCTCTGCCAGGAGCAGCTTTTTGGCCCCACCAGAGACCTGGGATCAGTCACGTGCCCTCGGGTGAGGGCAGCTACTCTAGTTGGGGGTTTGCCACTAGCCCAGTGCCTGGTGCGCTGTCACCTGGCAGCACCACCACTTCCCCCTTGGGCAGGGCAGCCCCTTCCACCTGTGCCATGTCAAAGTCCGGTTGGTAGAGTCTTCGTAAGAGCAATGTTGACAGTGCTCAGTGAGAGGCTTAGGCCCACAGTGGGTGGACGGTGAGCCTGGGACCCAGGCAAGTAGGCCAGGGCGCTCCGACTTCCGCTCGCTAACGAGAGGGAGCTGGAGGGACACTGCTCTCATGTCCGGTCCTCTCAGAGGGCACCATGAGGCCGCTCTGCCAGCTGGAGGGTCACAGGGGTGGGAGGCCTGGGCTGGCTGGATCTGACGTGTTCCTTGTGTGCTGCTAGGGCCTTCTCCAGAATGTCCCAGCTGCTGCTATCCATCCACTGTGGCAAGTGAGGGCCTCTACCCTAGAGGAGCCCAAGCCACGCTGGCCTCTCAGGCCGCTGCCTGGGACAGACCCTCTGGCAGGTGAGGCTCGTCCTCACGAGAGTTTGCTTGGCCTGTTTGCTGGACTCTCACTTAGGTATGTGTTGTGTGGAGCCTGGGAAATGCCAGGAATGGCGAGAGCAGGAATTGGGGCCGCTGAGACCCTGAGACAGTTTTCTTGGGGTGGGTCTGAGTGTTTCCTTTGTCCCTGGACACTGGTCCTATGCTGGCTATGTGGTTTGCAGATGTGCTTTTCCGAGCCATGGCTTTTTCATCCCCTGCACAGGCCTTTCACAGAGCAAGAGTCACGCATCTGACAAGCCCCAGCATGTCACTTGTGTTTCATGTCCTTGCTTTCAGTGTGGAGTCTAAGAACTGCCTGTTCCTAGATCCTAAAGACTCTCCTTTGGGTTTCTTATAAAAGTTTTACATTGAGGCCAGGTGCGGTGGCTCCCACCTGTCATCCTAGCACTGTGGGAAGTAGAGACAGAGGATGGCCTGAGCCCAAGGGTTGGAGACCAGCCTGGACAACTTGGTGAGACCTTGTCTCTGCAATATACTTTTAAAAGGTTAGCAGGGCATGCCTATAGTTCCAGCTACTTGGGAGGCTGAGGTGAAAGGATTGCCTGAGTCCAGCAGGTCAGGGCTACTGTAGCTGTGAGTGTGCTCCTGCACTCCAGCCTGGTCGAGAGCCCGGGAGACTCTGACTAAATAAAAAAAAAAAAAAAAAGTTTTATGTTGAAATTCATGATCTGATTTGAGTTAGTTTCTGTGCAAGGTTTGTCAGGTTCGTTGCCTGTGGACATCCAGTTGCTTAACCCCATGGTCTGTGTGCCAGTCACCCCCCAAAGCTGTGTTGGCAAACTTTGCGAGAGCTCGTGAGACATGTGTGTGGATCTGCTTGGGCGTTCATCTGTGTCCCTTGACCACCAGCCTGCTACAGCTGTGTACATCTTGAAGGCTGGCGACTCCCCTTTTTCTTGTTTACCCCCAGTTCAGCCATTGTCCTCCCCGCCTTTTCATTTCACGTTTAGCATAAACTTGTCCATGTCTTCATAATGTCTTGCTGGAATTTTGGCAGGACCAAACCCATGTAGGAGAGCTAGAGCGACAGTGACAGCATCAAGTACGGCTGAGGGCACTTATGTCTGCTAATGGGGGTGTGACTGGTACAATCTCCCTGGGGAAACAGCTAGGCATTTTTTAAAAAACTAAACGTACCCTTACCATGTGACCCAGCGTCCACACTCCTGGGGGCTAATCCCAGAGAAGTGAAAACTCAAGTTTATACAGAATGCTTGCGTGCCGGTATTCATTGATTGGTAATAGCTGAAGACTGGCTGGGCAGGACTCTGGTGCAAGCTGGTGCAGGCCCTGCCGTCTCCGTCCTCCCACCCCTTGTTCCCTCATCAGAGCTTCACTTTCCCTAAAACTGAAGTGTCAGCTAATGGAACAGCAAGGCTGTGACCACCGCTTGTGCTTTATTTCTGAGTTTATCTCCAAAGCCAGCGTCATTTTCATACACTGCTTTGGTGTCTTCGTTCTTTCTCTTGAATGCAAAGGAGACCCCATCCGGCTCGTCCCGGTCTAACGTGCCCAGCCCGAGAATGATGTTGCATCTCTGAAGCTTCTCTGAGAATCCCAAGCATTTGCTTGGGGTATAGTCTGGACTCCATGAGACACTGGATGGGGGTCCCACAGGCCAACCGGACCCTCAGCATACAGCATTGCTGTCCTGAGAACCCAGGGTTGATTGAGGATGGTGCTAGGAGATGGCGAGTCAGACACCCTCTCAGGGCTTAGTTCTTTAAATTCACTTTTTTTTTTTTTGAGTTGGAATCTCACTCTATCACCATGCACTCATGGCCATCCCAGCCTCGACCTGCTGGGCTCAGGCAATCCTTCCTCCTCAACCTTCCAAGTAGCCAGAATTACAGGTGTGCACCACCACTCCCAGTTTATTTTTTATTTATCGTAGAAACGAAGTCTCTCCAAGTTGTCCAGGCTGGTCTCAAACTCCTGAGTTCAGGCAATCCTCTCACCTTGGCCTCCCAAAAACTGGGATTACAAATTTGAGCCACTGTGCCCAGACTAAACTTCACTTTTGTTAAAAAGCTAGAAGTCTGGGCTTGGTGGCTCGGCCTGTAATCCCAGCACTTTGGGAGGTCGAGGCAAGTGGATTGCCTGAGCCCCGCAGGTCAGCACCGGGGTAGCCGTGAGTGTGCCACTGCACTCCAGCCTGGGTGATGGAGTGAGACTCCAACTCAAAACAAAACAAAAAAAAAGGTTGGCCAGGATCAGTGGCTCAGCCTGTAATCCCGCGCTTTGGGAGGCCGAGGTGAGTGAATCGCCTGAGCCCGCGGGTTCAAGACCCGCTGGGCAACTTGAGACCTCATCTCTACAATAAATCAAAAATTAGCCAGGCGTGGTACCGCGCGCCTGTAGTTCCAGCTACTTGGAAGGCTGAGAGGAAGGATGGCTAGAGCCCAACAGGTCGAGGCTGCGGTGGCCAGGAGCGTGCCACTGCACTCCAGTCTGGGTGACAGAGTCAGACTTCAACTCAAAAAAAAAAAAAAAAAAAGGCTATAGGTGGCTTAAAACTTGTCAATATTGACTGGGCTCAGTGGCTCAACCTGTAATCCAGCACTTTGGGAAGCCAAGGTGAGTGGATTGCCTTAGCCCACAGGTTCGAGACTCACCTGGGCAACTTGACGAGACCTCGTCTCTACAATAAATCAAAAACTAGCCAGACACGGTAGCGCGCACCTGTAGTTCTAGCTACTTGGAAGGCTGAGGCAGAAGGATCGCCGGAGCCCAGCAGGTTGAGGCTATGGTGGCTGGGAGCGTGCCACTGCACTCCAGTCAGGATGACAGAGTGAGATTCCAACTCAAAAAAAAAAAAAACGGCCTGGCCCAGTGGCTCAGCCTGTAATCCCGCGCTTTGGGAGGCCAAGATGAGTGAATTGCCTGAGCCCACGCGTTCAAGACCCGCCTGAGCAACTTGGCAAGACCTCATCTCTACAATAAATCAAAAAATTAGCCAGGCGTGGTAGTGCGCGCCTATAGTTCCAGCTACTTGGAAGGCTGAGGCGGAAGGATCGCTGGAGCCCAGCAGGTCGAGGCTGCGGTGGTCAGGAGTGTGTCACTGCACTCCAGTCTGGGCGACAGAGTGAGACTCCATCTCAAAAACAAACAAACAAAAAAACAAAAAAAATCTGTCAATATCAGGAAGAAGTTCCTGATACGAGGAAGTTCCTAAATTAGCAAAGTAGGATCGTGGCGTCTTTATTTTTTATTTTATGAGTCGGAATCTCACTCTGTTGCCCAGGCTGGAGTGCAGTGGCATGCTGCTCACAGCCACCACAGCCTTGATCTCCTGGGCTCAGGCAGTCCTTCCACCTCATCTTTCCAAGTAGTTGGAACTACAGATGCACACCACCATGCCCAGCTTATTTTTTAAAAAATTTATTTTAGAGACAAGGTCTTGCCAAGTTGCCCAGGCTGATCTTGAACTTACGGGCTCAGACAGTCCTCGCCTCGACCTCCCAAAGTGCTGGAATTACAGGCGTGAACCACTGTGCCCTGCTGTGTCTTTATTTTTTAACCTTTGTTTACCATGGACTTCTCAAGAGCTGAGGGAAAGGTACACAACCCATGCCAGCTTGTTCCTCCATCCCACTCCCTTCCTGCTCCCCAGCAGGGTGTTTTAAAGCAGGCCTAAAGTTTGAATCCTAAATGCTTTGAATGCAGTTATTTAAATTCAGAGAGAGATCACAATGTAGTTCTCACACTTAAAAAGTTCTTGACCAGTAATGGTGGCTCACACCTGTAATCCTAGCACTTTGGGAGGCCAAGGCAGGAAGATTGCTTGAATCCAGGAGTTCAAGACCAGCCTGGGCAACATAGTGAGACCTCAAATAGAAAAACTAGCCAGGGTGTGGTGGTACACACCTGTAGTCCCAGCTACTCCTGAGCCCAGGAGGTCGAGACTGTTGTGAACCATGGTTGTGCCACTCAGCTCCAGCCTGGGCAACAGAGTGAGACTGACTCAAAAAAATAAAAATTGCATAACAGTTACCAGGTGCAGTAGCTCATGCCTGTAATCCTAACACTTTGGGAGGCTAAGGCAAGAGGATTGCTTGAGCCCAGAAATTCGAGACCAACTTGGGCAATATAAAGAGACGTCATCTCTATAAAAATCAGAAAATTAGCTGGGTGTGGAGGCGTGCACCGGTAGTCTAAGCTACTTGGGAGGCTAAGTCTGAAGGATCTCCTGAGATCAGGAGGTTTTAGGCTGCAGTAACCATGATCGCACCACTATACTCCAGCCTGGGTGACCCTGACTCTGAAAAAAGTTTTTAGTAACATTTGACATACATTCAGGTTCAGCTTTCCCCGTTAACTTCATCAGTGTCTTTTTGCAATTGATGTATTCAAGTCTGGGACCAGTCAAGGTTTACGCACATCAGAGATCAGTGATCATTTCTAAACTTACTTTTAAATTCTTGAGCATATTCTCAGGCCTAAAACCAAGGGTCCAAGACCAGGTGTTAAAGATAAAACATTAGTGCCGATTCATAATTACCAGGTCCCAAGGTGAGCAGGCGGGTGAGGGCAGCATAGGAAGGAAGAGATGCCAGATCTCCTCCAAGGGGGCCCTGGGCAGTTCCTTGTCCGCAGACGGCCTGGAGGTCATGGCTGTGTTTAGTTGCCGAGAATTCTCTCTCGCTCTTCTGGTGACTTTGGCTGGAGGCAACTAGGGGAGGGTGGGTCACGCCACTGCTCCTGCTCACTGGGCCCCCTCTATGTCCTGAAGGAGAACCTATAGGAACAACTATTGGGTCAGAACCCCCACCCTCAGGGAGATTTCTGCTCTGTACCCTTAGGAATGGGCACCACAGACCACGTTATTGTCCTGGCGTCCACGAATCGAGCTGACATCCTGGACAATGCTCTGATGAGGCCAGGCCGACTGGACCGGCATGTCTTCATTGACCTTCCCACACTGCAGGTCAGAGCCCCACCAGGAAAGGTCAGGGCTGGTCAGCCTTCCATAGCACCTGTTAGTATGGCCTGGAGATGTGACCTGCCAGGGCCGCCATCCCCTCCTCTACCCAGGCTGTCCTTGCTCTAGTCCTGAAAGGGGCCAGTGCTCCCTTTGTCCATGATGTGGTCTTGACCTGAAACCCACCCCACCCCACAGGATGCCTACTGCCACCCTCCTCCCACACATGGCCACACATCCCCTGGGGGCTGGCATTCCACTTTCTTTGACTCACTGCTCTTCTCTAGGTTTTACACCTTGTTTTTGCTCACTCACTCTTGTTTTTCCTTTTATTATTTTTTTTTTTTTAATTTTTATTTTTTGAGTTGGAGTCTCACTCTGTCGCCTAGACTGGAGTGCAGTGGCCGCTCCCGACCACCGCAGCCTCGACCTGCTGGGCTCTGGCAATCCTTCTGCCTCAGCCTTCCAAGTGGCTGGAACTACAGGCGCGCGCTACCATGCCCGGCTAATTTTTTAATTTTATTGTAGAGATGAGGTCTGGTCCAGTTGCCCGGGCGGGTCTCGAACCCACGGGCTCAGGCAATTCACTCACCTCGGCTTCCCAAAGCGTGGGATTACAGGCTGAGCCACCAAGCCCGGCCTATTTTTATTTTTTGCTATTACATTTTTTTTGTTTGTTTTTTTGAGTTGGATTCTTACTCTGTCGCCCAGACTGGAGTGCAGTGGCTGCTCCCGGCCACCGCAGCCTCGACCTGCTGGGCTCCAGCGATCCTTCCGCCTCAGCCTTCCAAGTAGCTAGAATTACAGGCACACACCACCATGCCCGGCTAATTTTTTTGCTTTTTGTAGAGACGAGGTCTCACCATATTGCCCAGGCTGGTTTCGAACCCATAGGCTCAGACAATCCTCTCTCCTCTGCCTCCCAAACACGGGATTACAGGCTGAGCCACCAAGCCCTGCCTCTATTACTTTTTTTAGTTGGAGTCTCACTCT